GTGCTTCTGGGATCTCATGGGCAGAGGCCAGGAACGCTACTAAGTAAATATCCTCCAGTGCACAAGCCTGCCTCTGATAACAAAGAATTACCCAGCCCCAAATGTCAACAGTTCAGAGAAGCTTTAGAATAGAGCAATGGCTGTCAGACTTCTTTGGCTGCTTCCTGACAAAATATTTCACTTTACAATTGAGAGCCCCCAGTCACACGGGGACACTCACATGAAGCATCAGTGTAACTAAAATTAAAGCTTTACCCCCCAAATACTTACCCTTAATAGGATACACTCCGATGTCTACTATGAAGTTGCAGTTGAAATCTTAGCAGAATCCATTATGTTGATTTCACAATCTGTTAATGGGTCACAGCCTATAGTTGGCAAAACACTGGTATAGAGAAGCTCTAAGACTTTGTGGTCAAATAAAAGCAAGTTTAAATGCCAGACTCACCACTTAATTTAGGCTAGTCACTTAACCTTCATAGGTATCAAAATCCCCAAATGTAAACAGAGGATAATAACAGAATCTAGGACCACCTGGGTGGTTCAGTTGTTAAGCACCTGCCTTTGGCTCAGGTCATGATCTCAGGGTCCTGGGATCAAGCTCCACATCTGGCTCTCTCTTCAGTGGGGAGTCTGCTTGTCCCTCTCCCTCTCTCCTACCTCTCCCCTACTTGTTCTCTCGATCTGTGTCCCTCAAAATACAAATGAATAAAAAATCTTAAAAAAAAAAACAGAATCTCCCTCAAATAATTTTTATGGGGTTGAAATGAAGATAAAAGTGAGAAAATGCCCTTGATGTGGGAGACACTAAACATATGTTAGTTCCTTTACATATACTCTAAAGGTAAGACACTAACATCCTCTTTTTCTAGATTATAAAATCAAATTTGCCCAGCAGTGGGAAAATACAGAATTTCAACTGGGAAAAAAAAAAAAAAAGATTGAGTATCCTTTTCTATGGAGAGAATTTAGAAGGTTTTGGCAACAGTCAGGGGAAGACAAAAGACAAAGGCCCAGTTAATGCTTTTGAGCAAGTACAGCATGACAGCCCATGAGTGGAGACTGACTGTTCCCTTGTCCCACTCCCTGTGAGTGAGGTCCTTGGGTCTCAGTGTCCCTCACAGGCTCACAGGGCGAGCACGTGTGTGGGATTAAGGCAGCCCTAGTTACGTCCTCAGTTTGAGAAGAAATGGCAACCTGAGCCTGGTTTGGTGCAATTCTATGGTGATGGCCACTGATGGGAGAGAATCTGGGCAATGAAGCCCTTTGTGGGGCTTCTCCAACCCCACTGTGAAGAAGGCAGACACTTCACTCTTCTGTTTGAATGCATATCATAAAGTACAGTTTGCTTCTCTGGTTTCATTCGTTCAGCGGTTATCCATCCATCCATCCATCCATTCAGGTTTAGGGAAACCAGGAGATGGCATCATGGTAGGGAAGCCCTTCACTATGTCTACGGATAAGGCAGAATGGAGACCACTGGGTGGCTCCCGGCTACATCTGGAGTAGAGGTAGGTTCTAAGTGAGGTCATCTTAAGTTGGATATAAAAGTGACTGCTTCAAAGTACTTTTCTCTCATAAACTAAGAGACTTCCATCCTAGATGGCAAGTAAATAGTTTTAACCTTCAACAAAAATATCAGCATATTAAGAAGAAAATGGACCGATTTGATGGAATAAAAATTTAAGTCATCTTGCCCATGAAAGAGCACATAAGCAAAATTTAAAGGAAACCAAAGACACAGCAACTCATCAAATGTGTGGACCTCATGTGGATTTGTATTTCAACAAACTATACGTCTGACACATACAAACATCGGAAACTTGGTATTTGCTTGCATATTAGATGATGTTAAAGAATTATTGTTGATTTCTAGGTATAATTTTAGGTGTATCATTGTGGTTATTTTTAAAACATTTCTTATGCTTACAACATATACACAGCCCTAAGTATAAACCAGAGAGCAGGGAAAGGGACGCCTACATATATAGAAATGTCTCTCAAAACCTTCCTTAATTGCCAGGAACACCATGAGACTTGCTACCGGCCCCAAATTTGGCTGCCCGTCATCTGAAAGGCCAGTACTCAGGAGATAGGTTTTGAATGGAGAGGGATATGAGCTGTCATCAGAAGGCCAGCCACCTGGCCAGCCACCAACTCAGAGGTTTCTAAAGGGCTTTTTAAAGGAGTGTAGGTCAATTAATCAGTAATGGGAGTGAGGAGGCCTGCAACATTCCTTGATTGCATGCAGCCTCCATGATACAAATGTTATCTCTGTGCTCAGGGTTGTGCGAGAGGGTTGGGTTGCGAGAGGGTCAGGTTCCTGTTTTGTGTGGTGCAACAGTAACTGTTCTTTCTGTAAATGAGGGCAACGTCTACAGATACACAAAGGAAGGTTACTAAAATCATTTGTATGACCTAAAAAAGAAAAGAGCATTTGGCTAAAAAAAATTGCTAGGTTGATCAGAAAGCCGAGGCTGCTTCAAACAGAAGCCAGAACAAAGTTCTGGTCGCTGCCTCCTCAAGGCCAGTGGTCTGTCTGCTAAGGATCCAGGGACTTATGTCAGCAAGTCAGGAGTGTTAGCTGGACGCAGGTTAGCCCTTCAGACCGGCCAGAATGCTTGTTACGCACTTCCTTCAGAACTTCCCATTTGGAGTGGCACCTGGTTGGCAGCCTTCTTGAAGTCTCTTCCAGCATCTTCTCAAAGTCTCCATGATTTTATAAATGAATTGACACAAAATTATAAGGGACTGCTCATGTACCTGGTGGGTCCTTGAGCGGATACCCATGGATGCATGCTGGATGGATTCATGACACAGCGGCTAGAAAGTGAAAGAGCGATTGCTCGGAAAAACAAGGCTCCTGGGGACCTAAATGCCATTCTGCTAAAATGTTACCAGGTGATTCTAGTTTCTTTCTTTTTTCTTAATCCCTGGCATCTCAAATATGTTTTCCATCTGAGATGGGTACAACCCCGAAAGCATTTTATTCTGCTCCTTCTCTTTTTTCAAGAGACAGAACTCTGATGTTCCAGCAAGTTCCAATGGTGGACATCACTGAAATGAAGTCGGTGCAGACCAGAGCCATTTTCAACTACGTGGCCCCTAGATATGACCTCTATGGGAGAGACCTAAAGGAGACAGCCCTGTGTGGTACGTTTTCTGTGCTTTCATCAACAATTAACAGGAGCAATCTAGTTCCTTCCCTGAGTGAGCAGGTCTGTACTCACAGGTTTCATGGCCAATAGCAGTGTAGGTCTTGGTGTTATTATAGAGGTCCAGCACAGCAGAGACGTATGAGGGTGAGAAATAGTAAACATGGAGTGGATTCAAGTGAGTATGATTATATAAGGGGGTACAATCTACGGATATAGTACACTGACAGAGTTGACCAAAACAGATGAACTACGAAGCCAGGAGGATAGTGGAAACATGACTCCAGGGACTCAGGCTTTGAGGAGCTGGGTACACCCAATAGCTAGAGCCAAACACAAAACTCTGAGTGTCTAGAGAAGAAGGCTCGGGAAAGGACGAGGAAAGCTAGGACCTGACTGGCATTCCTTAGGCATTGACCTTCACTTCCTGTGAGCTAACAGTACTGCAGCACCCTGACTCTCAAGGCATTTTATAAAAACCGACGGTGAGGAAGAATTGTACCAGTTGTACCCAAATCTTGGTTTTCCAGCAAGACTTCCACTAACCAGGACCTGATCTAGAATTCTCTCTTCAGCAGACCTCCATGGTCATAGTCAACAGCTTGGGCTGTCGAAGGCTCTGAGAGCCGCACTGGACGTTGGAATAGATCTTGCAGAGCACCATGCAGGGGCTTTGATCCAAGAGCAGCACAATGACAGCAGTGGGTCAGGAGAGACTCTGGCAATGTGGTAGGGAGACATGAGGCCAGTAGCCCTTCAGAAGAATATGGTAGTGTTTCAGAGATGGATGAATGAGATGTATCTGGACAGAGATGGGGGCAGTGGGCGGAGAGGAACAGACAGATAGAGGGATGTTAAGGAAAAATTAGTTGACATACTTGAAGACATGGTTCTCAGACTTGAGAGGAAAGTCATGCAAACTAAGGAAATAAGGTTCCATCACTCTACATAGTATGTGTGTTATGTTTTTCCTGGGAGGTAAGAGAATATTTCAGGATCAAAAGTACCTGAAATTGGACTAAATAAAAACCGTGGGCCAAAAAAAAAAGGATTGCAGGAGATACGGGAGTCCATCCATAGAATGAAAGGGTTAACACAGACACTGCCATCTTTATAAGGCATTAGATCATTCTGTCAATCACTGAACCAATGTTAAGTCATTGTTTGTGTCTTGGCCCTATTCAAGGAGGAAAGAATTCATAGAAATCAAGAAATACTCCCTCCTGCCCCTTGTGGTGCTGAGTTTGGGACACATGGACATGACAAAGACCTGAACAGTCTTTCCATTTGAGCACAGCTCTACTTTGAAATCACAGAGCCCTATGATAAGATAAATGAAAACGGTCTATTACCATATAGCATTTGAAGTTTTATTATATTCTTTGCCTGATAATTATCCATAGTTTCTTACGTGTACATAGTCTGAAAGGGTATTTGTCAAAATTTCCTGAAGTCGGTGGTGCCATGGGGTTTTCTCTTCATGTTATCATTTGCATATTATTGGAAGACTTTAATACATTTCATGAACTTCTCCAACATTTTATTTGGAAAAGTTACATACGTCGGAATAGTTGAAAGAGATGTACGGTAGACATGTGTTTTAGGGTATAACATTTTACAGTAATGGTTTTTCATCTGTTTGGACCTGGCATCCAGTTCATGGAAACCTCACAGTCAGTTTCTTCCAAAATTGGCAGACAGAGTCCGATCAGTCTGAAATTGTTTGTTTAATCTTTTAATTGCCAACCTTGAAAAAGAACATATTAACCAGTTGTTTCATAAGAGGATTACTTGTCATTCCCTTCTAATCTAACATGGGAGCCAAGACCCTGAGCATTGTGGGAGTGACTTCTCCCTCACTGAACTCTACCCTCATCCGAGAGGAGGCGTTACCTACTGTCAAAGAGCTTATAAACGCCTGAAGGGTTGGCATGGAGCTGCTGCGCCTCCTGGGAGAGACACTTCAGTAAGGTAAGTACTGCTTTCCTACATCTTCAGATATTGCCTCACACCCTCATCTCTAGATTACCAGAAAACTACTTTAAAATGTGTCTTTAGCACAAGGAAAAGTCTGTTTTATTCTCAACATTGTGCCTTCTTGGTGCGTTTAGGGGATAGTTCAAGAGTTGTTTATTCAATGGTTGTTGGATACAGCTTTACAAAAATATAAAAATGAATTCAGAGATTTGAAAACTAGGGCATGAGAATTTCGATAGAAAGATATTCATGACATAAGGGGAAAAAAGAACGAAACATTTCGGCAATCCGAGAATATGACCAGTGCAAGAGAGACTAGAGGTGTTTGTGGCAGCCTTACTTTCTCTGAAAGAATAGCGGCCCCCCCGCTAATGTGTGGTTTTGCTTACTGTGCTTATCAGTTACCCATGGTAACTAACCACAGCCTGAAAATATTAAGTGGAAAATTCCAGAAAGAAAAACATTCATAAATTACAAATGCCCATCAGTTTTATTACAGCATATCATTATACTTGTTCTATTTTATTACTAGTCATTGTTATTAACCCCCTACTGTGCCTAATTTAGGAATTAAACCTCATCAGAGGTATGTATAGGCAAAAACGTAGTATATGTAGGTTTGGTACTTTCCTGGTTTCAGGCAACCCCTGGGGGTCTTGGGACATAGCCACGCAGATAAGGAGAACTACTGTAGTCAACACACAACAGTTGTGAATTATGATAGTGCAATGTTATCTAGCCTATGAAAATTACGATTTGTCATAATAGAAAAAAAATTAGTCTGAATGTTAGCAGAACTAGATTCCAAGTCTCGGCTTACTAGCTAGCTGGCGAGGCCCATTGTCTCTTTAGGGTTCAACCAACTCATGGCAACCTAGAGCAGGGCTGGAGCAAGGTTTTCCAACCTTGGTACTATTGACACTTTAGGCTGGCTTGTTTGCTGCTGTGGGGAGCTGTCCCGCTAATCGTCCTTTTATTGTTGTTCAGTTAAAAAAAAAGTGTATTATAAACATGTACATTTAGTTTGTTTTAAAGAATGTACTTGACAATAGTCTTAACATACATATTTCCTCAAATTTGGAAACTTTTCACCTTTAAAATATCTACAGTGATAGTTAATTTACAAGTTTTATAAGAAATGGTCACTTCATGAATACTGTTGACACAGTTTAGATTCTCATAGTGTCTTTGCATTTCACTCAGTACTTGTAGAAAGAGCACAGTGCAAGGGTGAGGTTCCAACCTAGTGGAGTGACGGACAGCCCGAGGAGAAGAGTAAGTCCCAGTGGATAACAGGAGCATGCCTGTATTTTCCCAAATGGCCATGAACTCTATCCTGGAAAGACTGCATAGATACAGCAGCTAACCACAGTCAGCCGTAAGATATCTCCAACTAAATATCCAACCACTGTGTCTGCTAGGATAACATGGTAGATGAAAACTAGGCAGATAAAATGCAGAATGACTAGTCATAGATAAAAAGCATTCAGAGGCACATCAAGCATGGCCTCATGCCACATCAGAAACATCTCTGATCTCTACCCAATTGATGCTGTAACACCTTCCCTTCTGGTTTTGACAACCAGCCATGCTTCCAGACATTGCCAGATGGCCTTCAGGGTGCAGGTGAGCCAAATCACCCCCATTGAAGAATCACTGGCTTAAAGGACTTCTCAAACTCCCAAATGCAAGAAGTCCTGATGGGAAGACTGGGTGGTCAGCAGAGCGTATCTTTCATTTTTAAAAGGCACAGAAATTCACCTAGCTAGAATGCACGAGTCACTGGAGTCAGACTGGAAGGGTCCACGAAGTCCTGCTGGAAGTGTTAATATCCATGGGGGAAGACGGGTTTTGTACAGGCAGGGACGAGAAGTTCAGTGACATCACTGTGACAATCCAGAAATCCCCGGCAGAAGATGCTGAGATGCCAAGGAGGAAAAACAATCTGTGAGGTGCTAACAAGAGCAAGGTTGACAAGGAGGTGGCGTGATCCCAATATGAAGGGAGGCAGAGGAGTGGAGGTGGAAGAGGCACGGGTTTGAGGATATTATGCTGCCCTGGGGGAGGCAGGATCCTCCCTGGACAGAAGGCACAGCATGCTCAGCTTACAGCCTGGTAGCCTTGGCCTTGCTGTGACTTGCTTGGCCATGATTTGGGAGTAGGAATTGATGACACTGGAATCACCACTGGGCACTCTGTGAGCTGCCTGTTGTCTACAAACTTTCCCGGCAGCAACCAGATCTGGCTCCTACCTTGTTGCTGCACAGCCATGGTTTCTTAGTGCGGGAGTGTGCCCGATGATGATGCTAGTCGAGCAGTTGGAAGGAGACTTTTTGAGAGTGGGGAGTATAGGACACATCATCCAGAACCAAAATGTCAGAGAAGGTTCAGTTAAATGTCAGTTACCAGGTAAGGAACAGGATGTCAGAGAGAAGAGATCGTTTTTGGCAAGTGTCGACAGTGAGACCCTGCTCTTGTGCAGTGACCAGCAATTACACTCACGGGGCTGGGACCCACACAGGGGAGCCCGGAGATTGGAAAAACTCCAGAGTGCCTGGATCAGGCAGCCGGTGGCAGGGGGGATGGGCCAGAGGTGAGAGACACTGCTGGGTACATGCGGCAGGTGGGCCGAACCAGAATTCTGCTGACGTCTTGAGGCTACAAAAGGCTGTGTTTAATGATGCACCAGACCTCCCTGAATCTTCGCTAGAGGTCCTACAATACAGGTTAGCACACAGTCCATACCTTCAGTCTTTCCACACAATCCAGATAAATGATTGTATGACTCTGAAACAATGTCTGGAAATATGTAACATCTGATTCCTACTGGAGTTCTATGGGTCAAGAGCTAGGCAGACGCACACACAGTGGTGGGTAAATAGGCAGAGAGATGAGACAGATGGACAGATAGACGAAGAAAGATGTGTGCTATCCAATGAGCCCAGAGACCCACCTCTGTCCAGGAACAGAGGCCGGAGGGAACTTGCATTTTCTGATCCCTATTATGAGTTTTAGGTACATGATCTCACTTAACTTTCTCAACAGCCTTCAAGAGTCAGTATAACCGTCTCTAGAAGAGAAAATGATGGGTGGGGATTTAACAACCTGGCTGAGTTTATGTACCAGAAGAGAGGAGCTGGCATTTGTCTCCAAGGTCCCTTCTCTTTCTCTGTTCCACACACTGTGATTAGGACCACATCCAGAGATATAACTCTTTTCATGTACTACTGGAATTATCGTAGGATATTCTCCATTCGAGGAATATAAGCCTACTTAAAAAAAAAAGATTTTATTTATTAATTTGACAGAGATTACAAGTAGGCAGAGAGACAGGCAGAGAGAGAGAGAGAGAGAGAGAGAGAGAGAAGCCCGACGCAGGGCTTGATCCCAGAGCTGAAGGCAGAGGCTTTAACCCACTGAGCCACCCAGGGGCCCCTAAGCCTACTTTTTTATTAAGGTAAGATATACTTATGTAGTGCTCCTTGTACTCTGGGTTCTTCAGGGTGTCAAAGTAAAGCAAGGTGTGTTTTATCAATATTCTTCTTTTAATATTTCTTCTGTAAATCAGCTAACAAAAAAGGAGCTTGCAAATTCCATGTTTCCCCCTCTGCCTCCTTCACCCGGTAGTTGGATAATGGGCTCTGAATGGGAACAAATCAACAAGGATCTCCAGGAGAAGCGCGGAAGCTGTCAAAGTGTTCCATGGTTTTAGAAGCCCAGGACCTGAAGTCAGATGAGTTCTGACTAAGCCAATGCTTGTACAACCTATGAGTTGAAGAAAGCTGCTTTGTCTCTTTATACTTCAATTTGCTCATCTTTAAAATAGGATATTTGAAGCTGTTTCCCGGGGTTTCCTGGGCGGGGGGGGGGGGGGGGTGGTCACACTCGCCAAATACCAAGGGCCCATCAGGAACATCCGTGTGTGTCTCTATGGCCAATCATCGAGTCTCTCCAGATCTCCTTTTCTGCTGATCAGGCAAAGTTCTGTGACAACCTTTGCCCCAGTCTTGATCAGGCCTCTGGAGACCTCCCATTCAAGAGGGGAACAAAGTTGCTTATCTGGGGAGCCTTCTGATAAAATATTATATAAGGTAAACATTGTTTCCTTTTGTATCCTGACCCTCAGTCAGTGGGTAAGGTGGTGTGAGGCCTTTTATCACAGCTCTGTGACCAGTGGTTCAAAACACACTCAGTACAAGCCTCATTCTCCTTTGCATCCCGCTGAGTCATAGCACCCCCATTCTTCATGATAAGAAAGTACAATGAACAAATCTCCAATTATAAGACAGATGACTTGATAAGTATGTTTCCAAACAGTTTTTTACTTACTTTTTTTTTTTAAAGAGATTTTCTTTATTTATTTGAGAAAGTCAGGGGCAGAGGGCAGAGAGGGAGGGAGAAGCAGATTTCCCATGTTGGAGGACCCTGGGATCATGACCTGAGCCGTAGGCAGATGCTTAATCGACTGAGCCACCCAGGCACCCCCACGGTTCTTTGCTTCCTAAAGGTTGGAATTATTGAGTGCTACATGAAAAATGTGGACATTGAAAGCACTCTGATATCTAAAAGTCAAGTCACACACACTTTTTCTGAGATGTATCCATTTGAGGTAGTTTTTTGGAGTAGTGTTGTGGGGGCCTGGAGCTGATGGCCAAGAAGGAATTCTTCAGAACTTTTCAGTGCAAAAAAGGTGGTTTTATTGGGGCACCTGGGTGGCTCAGTAGGTTAAGCCTCTGCCTTTGGCTCAGGTCATGATCTCAGGGTCCTGGGATCGAGCCCTGCATCAGGCTCTCTGCTCGGCAGGGAGCCTGCTTCCCCCTCTCTCTCTGCCTGCCTCTCTGCCTACTTGTGATCTTTCTCTCTGTCAAATAAATAAATAAAATCTTAAAAAAAAAAAAGGTGGTTTTATTAAAGAACAGGGGCAGGACCCATGGATAAGTATGCTGCCCAGGATTGAGTGGAACAACTGCTTATATACTTCGGGGTTGCGGTAAGTAAAAATAAGGGAAGTTCAAAAGGATCTTCCTATGCTAAAGAAGACACTTGCTATTGTGAAGCAATAGCAAGTGAAGGTGGATATTCCCTGTAGTAAAGCCATAATCCTTAAGCCAGCTGAGAGTTTCCTGGAAGAATGTTCCATTCTGACCATCTCAAGTATTTGTCAGTGGACTGCAGGTTATAAGGACATTTAATATTATCTACATTTCCTTCTGCCTTTGTTTCCCACCTCACATTGGGTAAAGAGAAGTATCTTTTTGTCCCAAACTCCGCAACAAAATTTTACAAGAGAATCTTAAAGTTTTGTAAACAGAGCCTATGATTTGCACAGAATATGCACCTGTTCCTTTTTAAGACCTGGCTTTAGGACTCCTGATTTTAATGAGTCCTGTGTGTTTCCATTCACATCCATGATAGAACATCCATTGTTTGAGCCATTGGGTTTCATTGTCTGGTTCCCTGCTATGTTCACTTCTCATACAGGCTGGGATGGACCAAGGACTTTCAAACTTCACTGATCAGGCAGAACCAAAGTATCCCTTACCATTATACAGATCAAAAGAGTGTGCACTCATGTACGTGCTCATACCCACAATAAACACATATTTGAAGCTAAAATGTTTCTGTTTCTACATAAAATATACTCAGATATTTTCTATTTTCTACTTCACGGTAGAAATTGGTGGACTTCACAATCCACTAAAGGATGTATATTTTTAAAACACCAATATAGAAAATAAAGTCTTTGGTTTTGAATGGAAGTGGGTTTGAATCCCAATGCTACCACCTACTTGGGGCAAGTTACTCTAGAAACCTCAGTATCATCAACTTTAAAAAGACAGTAATAGCAGAACCATCTCAGGCAATTTTTGTAGGATGAAATAAAGACAAATAGCTAAGAATACCCCTTGTATGACAGGCACTAAGAAATGTGAGTTCTGTTCCATTTACTGTAAGATTAATGCAGTAACACCCCCTTTTCCAGATTATAAAGTGCCACCAAGTAAAGTTAGAATGTAGAATTCCAAACAAAGGAAGGGAATTAGCCGCCTGTGTCTATGAAAAGAACTAAGGTCTTTTGGGCTAGGGTTGAGCCTCAGCCCTTTAAACAAAAGCAACATAAGGGCCAAGGAGTGGAGGACTGACTCTGCCTTTCCTTCCCCTTCTTGTCAGGAAAGTCCTCTGGTTTCAGTGTCCCTCACAGTCTCCCAGGGGTCCAGCTCTATCCACTCTTTTCAGTCCTAGGTGTGGATTTTCATGTCCATCACTAACTAGAGAATGACTATAGACTCTTTTCACCTTTGAGCCTTGTTCTCATTAACTGATATGGGTATGATAACAACCAGTTCCATGGGGCTGTTATGAAGATTAAAGATATAATGTATCCAAAGGATACAAGGGACTAGCCTTGGGTCATGATCATTAGGAGATTTTCAATAAATATCAATTCTCTAATCCTTTCCCCCCTTTCCAATGCCCATGCTTATATCCTTATTGAACACTCTCCCTATTAGCCTGCTAAGACAATCAAACTTTACCCAGTGGAGGTTTGGAACAATTACCCAGGATTGACTACTGATGGATGAGAAGTTGGGTCATGAAAAACGTTCTAAGGACTCTTCCAACTCTGCCATGAGGAAGGCAGATACTCCCTCCACATTGTTGGTGCTATTTGGCCATATACCAGAAAGTACATTTTTGCTTCTGTGGTATTGTTCATTTATTAATCCATTCATTTGTTTGTTCTTTCATTCGTGTTTAGAGAACTTTGGAGACCACCATGGCAGGGAAGCCCAAGCTTCACTACTTCAATGGACGAGGCCGAATGGAGTCCATCCGGTGGCTCTTGGCCGCAGCAGGAGTAGAGGTTAGATCTGAGTCTTGTCATCTTAAGTTGGATCTAAAATTGACTTTATCAAAGTACTTTTCTTGCATAAGTTAAGAGAATTTTCTTACTAAATGACCTGTGAAGAGTTTTGCATTAAAAAAAATTGTCAGCTAAGTCTCCGACTCTTGATATTAGCTCAGATCACGATCTCAGGGTTGTGAGACTGAGTCCCACATTGGGCTCTGCACTGGGCATGGAGTCTGCTTAGGATTCTCTCTTCCTCTGCTTCAGCTGCTCCCCCCCCACCCTATGCTCCTGCTCTCTCTCTAAAAAAAAAAAAAGAAAGAAAGAAAAAGATTGTCAACCATTAAGAGATGAACAGATTTGGGGCACCTGGGTGGCTCAGTCAGTTAAGGGTCGGCCTTTGGCTCAGGTCATGATCTCAGGTCCTGGAATGGAGCCCTGCATGGGGCTCCCTGCTCAGTGGGGAGTCTGCTTCTCCCTATCCCTCCGCCCCTCCCCTTGCTCATGCTTTCTCTCTCTCTCAAATAAATAAATGTAATCTTTAAAAAAAAATAGAGAGATGAACAGATTTGACCTAATATATTATTAAAATTTCTTCTCATTAAAGGATATAAACAATTAAAATAACCTAAGGAAACTAAACACAGTGTGTAGGTCTTATTTGGATTTGGATTTAAGTGAACTACAAAATACCATTTATGACTTGTGTGCAACAACTAAAAACATGAGCCTTGATCTTAGATGATTTTAAGGAAGAATTGTTGCTATTATAGATGTGCTAATTCACTGTTTCTGCTTTCCAGTTTGAAGAGAAATTTATTGAAACTCCAGAAGACTGGGATAAGTTAAGGAGTGGTAAGACCAAGTATCTAATTCTTGGGATGAGGGTATCAGGTAGAAGTCATAAGCTGAGGTTTTAACACCTACGTGTGAGTGTGTTGGGAATTGTGGGTGGAGGAAGGGAAGAAAAGTAGCCCCCATGTAAGAGGTGGGGCTCCTTGGGCCAGTCTTTCATCTCACTCAGGGCTAGGAAAGTCTTGAACTCTGAGCATTTGCTAAAGGAATCATGCCTCTTGCCCTGCAAATGGCCTCTCTCTGCTCTCTCCAGCTTTTCTGCCCCCCAAGTGAATTGGGTCAGTTCAGTATTCCACACAATCTGCCCATCCAAGGACCCTGGAACACATGCAGTAGAGTGAAAAAGTAGAAATAGGCTAGCAGTTGCTTTGAGTTCTTTTCTCTGGTGGGGTTGACAAGGTCCTACCAGCAATATTATAGTCTCAGAGAATGAGAGAGCATTGCATTGTTGAAATGCCAGGTGACAATAGGAAAAGGGAGATGAAGAACAAGGTTCAACACTACAAGCATCAGCGGACTCAGGAAAGCCAGGCACACACCAACCGGTGGGAGAGTTGGAAGAACACCTAAAACACTCTACATATAAATCGCTTTTAGAATTGGCCTTAAAGGCATGAGCTCTAAGAGAGTTCTCATTTGAAAGATAGGTGGTGGCGTCCCTGTTGTAGCTTCTCTCAAAATTTCCTAGCATATCAACGAAAGTAAATCAGCTGCAAAAACTCCAGGAACCTCCATGTATCTGCATGGGAAAGAAAAAGATAAATGAAATGATAGGTGAAAAGGAAGAGGCAGACTGAGAACAAAGAGGACTAGAGGAAGCTGAGAACAAAATGCTGTTTTGTTGAAATGTGACCAGGCAATAATTTTTTGTTTCCTTTTGTGTCTTAGGTCATGGCAATGAATGTTTTTTTTTTTTTCTTTTCATGCTAAAGAGAGTATGATCCAATAAAACATTTCACTCTGCTTCTTCTTTTCTTCTTTCAAAAGATGGACATCTGATGTTCCAGCAAGTGCCAATGGTGGAAATAGATGGAATGAAGATGGTGCAGACCAGGGCCATTCTCAACTACATTGCCACCAAATACAACCTCTATGGGAAAGACATAAAGGAGAGAGCCCTGTACGTATTTTTTCTGTTCTTTCATGAACAATTAATGTGAAAATTTGGGTTCTTTCTTGGGTAAGCAGGACCGTGTTGGGGAGATTATGGCCAGGAGGAGCACAGGACTTGGTGGTATAGATTGAGGTCTGACACCAGCGAGATCTGTGAGGATAAGGGATTCTACTTGCAGTGGATTCACCAGGTAGGGTTACAGAAAAAGAAGCAGTCCATGGATAGAGAACATATGGGGACAGAGTTTCCCTAATTTGATGAACTATGAGGCCAGAAAGATGGTGGGCTCATCACCAGGTACTCAGGCCTTTTGGAGCTGGATACCAGCCAACAAGTAGAGACAAAGGACAAGGTGTCTGAGTATCTAGCAGATAAGGCAGGGAACAGAAGGATCCTAAAGGTTCATAAATTACAAGAATGCTGAGCAAGAACTTCACTTACCAGCTACTTGATAAGCGTGATTGGAGCCTAGTCCTTAAGCTGCTAGGGTTATCTTGAGCAGCCAGATTTTAGCCAATACAACCATATCTGTGGGTTCTCTTCTCTGTTGTGATGGGACCACATGACTGAAATTTAAATCCCAGAATGCTCTGTTACCAGTTACTCAAAAAGTTAAACATAGATTGACCATATGCCAGCAACTGCATTGGTAGGTATACAAACAAGATAATTGAAAATCCATCTACCCTGGAACTTGTGCATGAATGTTTGCAGCAGTGTTGTTCTTACTGTTCAAACAGTGAAACGTTGCAAATTTGCATCAGCTGACTAGTGGTTGGAAGATTGGCCTATCCATCAATGGAATATTATTTGGCCATGAAAAGGAATGAAGTATTGATGCATGGTACTTACTACATGGATGAACCTTACAAACATCATGTTACATACACCAGACACAAAGACACCTATGGTATGACTCTATTTGTATGAAATATCCACAGCACTCAAATCCATAGAAACAAAGTAGTTTAGTGGTTGCCAGGGGCTGGAGGAGGGAAGAAATTGGAATGGCTACCAAAGCATATAGCATTTCTTTTGGGAATATGAAAATATTCCGTAATTAGAGTGGTGATGGTACAGAATTGTGTATCTTCACTATAAAAATCATGAACTTGTACACTTGAGAAGTGTATACATTATGGTATGTGAATTAAGTGTTAATAAAGATTTTATTTAAAAAAAACTCTTAATAGGAAGCCCAGTTGGGAACAATAAAACCAGATCTCCTAGAATATGTACTGGTTGGAATGTCCAAAGAATTTCACCTTTTTAGGGGCTGAGTTGAGAAATGCAAATAAAGCCAGAGTTGGGCAACTATATGTGGACAGGGTTATGGGAATTAATTGGAAAACCTGCTGATATTGGGCACATAAATGGGCCTGGGTGGGGTCCTAGGATGAGACAGGAAAGGGACGTGAGTGAGACATCTGTGCCAGGGACTCTATCAAGAGATCATGTAGGTGGCATGTCTTAGGCACACGAGTCACATTACCTTTGTGCCCAGAACAAATCACAGCAGATATGGCAAGCCCCAGGTATGGTCCCAGTGGGTCCCTGCGAAATTGCACCAGTTTCTCTGGGCTCTGGACAAGTCACCAAAGCTCTCTGTCCCCCTCTTTGGTCATGTATATAATGAAAACTTTAACCATGTATCTATGTCAGTGGTTTGTTCTAGAATGAGATGATCAAATCAAGTAAAAACCCAAGCTAATGTGTGGCGTATGAAAATGCATCCAGTGGGAACTGAACTCCTGATGCCTACTCTTGTGTGTTTTTCAACTATAAAATCAAGACAGAAGACATTTGACAACTTGGTCACTTTGTCTTTCAGGATAGATATGTACACAGAAGGTATAGCCGATTTGAGTGAAATGATCATTGTTTTGCCTCTATGCCCACCTGATCAAAAGGAGGCCAAGATTGCCCTGATCAAAGAGAGAACAACAGATCGTTATCTCCCCGTGTTTGAAAAAGTAAGTGGACTGTTGAGCACTTTGGGGCACTGGACTTAGAGGACAAGGAAAGCTAGGACCTGACTGGCATTCCTTAGGCATTGACCTTCGCTTCCAGAGAGCAAACAGTAATGCAACACTCTGACTCTCAAGGCATTTTATAAAAACCGACGGTGAGGAAGAGTTGTACTAGTTGTACCCAAATTTCAGTTTTCCAGCAAGACTTCCACTAACCAGGACCTGATCTAGAATTCTCTCTTCAGCAGACCTCCATGGTCATAGTCAACAGCTTGGGCTGTTGAAGGCTCTGAGAGCCACACTGGACGTTGGAAAAGATCTTGCAGAGCACCATGCAGGGGCTTTGATCCAAGAGCAGCACAATGACAGCAGTGGGTCAGGAGAGACTCTAGCAACGTGGTAGGGAGACATGAGGCCAGTAGCCCTTCAGAAGAATATGGTAGTGTTTCAGAGATGGATGAATGAGATGTATCTGGACAGAGATGGGGGCTGTGGGCGGAGAGGAACAGACAGATGGAGGGATGTTAAGGAAAAATTAGTTGACATACTTGAAGACATGGTTCTCAGACCTGAGAGGAAAGTCATGCAAACTAAGGAAATAAGGTTCCATCACTCTACAGAATCTTTCCTGGGAGGTAAGAGGAGAATATTTCAGGATCAAAAGTACCTGAAATTGGACTAAATAAAAACCATGGGCCAAAAAAAAAAAAAATTGCAGGAGATATGGGCGTCCATCCATAGAATGAAAGGGTTAACACAATCACAGCCATCTTTATAAGGCATTAGATCATTATGTCAATCACTGAACCAATGTTAAGTCATTGCTTGTGTCTTGGCCCTATTCAAGGAGGAAAGAATTCATAGTAATCAAGAAATACTCTCTCCTGACCCTTGTGGTGCTGAGTTTGGGGCACATGCACATGACGAAGACCTGAACAGTCTTCCCATTTGAGCACAGCTCTACTTTGAAATCCCAGAGCCCTATGATAAGATATATGAAAATGGTCTATTACCATATAGCATTTGAAGTTTTATTATTTTCTTTGCCTGAAATTTATCCATAGTTCCTTACATGTACATAGTCTGAAAGGGTATTTGTCAAAATTTCCTGAAGTTGGTGGTGCCATGGGGTTTTCTCTTCATGTTATCATTTGCATATTATTGGAAGACTTTAATACATTTCATGAATTTCCCCAACATTTTATTCAGAAAAGTTGCATACATTGGAATAGTTGAAAGAGACATACAGCGGACACATGTTTTATGGAGACATTAGCCAGGGCTTCAGCTGAAGGAAAGAACAGCCCAGACCCAGTGTTTCACTGAGTCAGGGGCAATATGGAGGGTCTGAAGCCCCCACCCCCTCAGTGAGGCAGGAGAGGTGGGGAGGTAGGGTTGGAGAGCAGGGAGGAGCAGAGGGGCCCAACCTGACTGAGCCTGAGCTCATGGTGTGATTCTTCAAATCCTCCAGGTGTTAAAGAGCCATGGACAAGACTACCTTGTTGGCAACAGGCTGAGCAAGGCTGACATTCACCTGGTTGAACTTCTCTACTATGTGGAAGAGATTGACCCTAGCCTCCTAGCCAACTTCCCTCTATTGAAGGTGATCTCTCTCACAGCTATCAGGAGGGAAGGCTCACACCTCCCACCTCAGGATCTGACATTCGGATTCAATCCCCATAATTGCCTCTTCTCAATTCCACTCTGCCCTCCAGAGTTAGCTACTAGGGGCTGATTGAGGCACAGAATCTTGTCATGCCAAGGCCATTTGAGGTGGATGCTTCCTCAAAAGAGTAGATTGTCTTCACCAGGAGAAGGACCCAGAGCTCAGCATCTACCTTCCCATCCCCATTCCATTATGGTTTCTGTCCTTGTTTTCTCTGGGGTTTCCCTTATCCATGTGTGTCCCCTTTCCTTCGTGTGTCTGCTGGAGGAGCTCTCCTTCCTTCTGCTTCCTTCCTTCCACTCCTGCTCCTAATGGCAGACATCATGCTTCTCTGGGCAGAGTCTCCCTCTCTCCCTGTGCCTCTCTCAGTGGGCTGACTGGTTTTGACCAGTCTTGTGGTTTACCTTTCTACATTTTCTGTCTTCCATTCCGGGGCAGTTTTCCTATATATTTCATTGTCTGTCAGGAGACTTTATGTGTGTCGTTCCCTGACAGACACATTCCTCTTCCGGCTGTTGCACTAGAGTGATGAATCCATAGGATTTATGTGTAGGGAAGGAGACAGGGAAGCCCTGAAACTGAAATGAGTCTGAAAGAAAGATGTCTTTGGGGCAAATGGCATTGAGCTGTCTTTTCTTCTTCCAACCTTCATGTCTCTCTGGGTGTGGTTCCCAGCCTCACACTGGTGCTGATGGAGGAGACTCAGCTGGTCCTCACAGGAGGGTCTCTGTTCCCTGGCTTGTTGCTAATGATAGGGTTGGGCTTTGGTTCCATTCTGAAGCTGTGCCCTTGTGCACTGCAGGCCCTGAAAACCAGAATCAGCAACCTCCCCACGGTAAAGAAGTTTCTGCAGCCTGGCAGCCAGAGGAAACCTCCCATTGATGAGAAGAGTTTAGAACAAGCCAAGAAGATTTTCAGGATGAAATGAAGCAGGAATGGATGCCCAGCCCACACAAGACACACCTGCTGAAGTTTTCTAGCCATGAAGTGCATTACCTCCATGTAATTCCTGGCTATTGTGAGGTTAGGTTACCAACCACAAAAGCTTAGAAATTATGCAGATTTAGTTGCAAAACAATTTGTTTTGATCAAATATCAAATCATGATCACCTCCTAGGATATCTCTTGGTCATAAAATAAATAAAGGGAGAAAAATTTCATGGATTCTTTCTTTGATCTATTAAAAAATGGTCATTTTGTCTATCATGTACCTTGTCAAAAAGAGTGAAGTAGAAATTTTCATAGAACATTTTACTACATAAAAATAGTCTCTTTTGTATTTTGCTATGTTTCTGATCTGTGACCTAAAAGGTTTCTTTCTTTCTCATCTTAACTTGACTATAACTGCAAAGACCCTATTTCCAGGTAACGTCACATTCACAGGTACCCAAGGTTAGGACTACAACCTATCCTTTCTGGGGGACACAATTTACTCTGTAACTTCATACTAGGGCACGAGAGCAAACTGAGCATGAATCTAATCAGGACAACTTGGCTTGAATCTGTGAGTCCTTCATGGTCTGTCATAAGGGGGCAGTTTGGATTTTGTTCCAAGGAAAATAGGGTGTCACTGAAGTACAGCCATATAGCCTGCTTTCCCAGCCTGATGTACATATAATAAAATCACATCTTTTAAGTATTCATCTTTTTTTTTTTAAAGATTTTACTTTTTTATTTGACAGAGATCACAAGTAGGCAGAGAGGTAGGCAGAGAGAGAGAGGAAGGGAAGCAGGCTCCCCACCGAGCAGAGAGCCCGATGCGGGGCTTGATCCCAGAACCCTGGGATCATGACCCAAGCTGAAGACAGAGGCTTTAACCCACTGAGCCACCCCGGTGCCCCTTAAGTATTCATCTTAAGTCATTCAAACATTCATCTTGGAAGAGCAAGAACGTTCTTTCCCCCTGCAGTCTCTTTTGCAACAGTAAACCCAACAACTGAGGTGCTTACTCCATTCAAAGTGTCAAATAGACTTGACACTGAGCAAAAGTCCCAGAAGCCTCCTGCTGCAGAACCTGTTCTTTGTTGCCCCTTTTGCCACATGGAGTTCCTGTGTCCCATAGACTGCCCGATCTGAGATGGTTTGGTTGAAACCCTGACTACCATTCATCCACCCAAGAGAGGGCAGCAGCCTCCTCTTGCTCTGTAGCTCAGAGAGAAGGAAGTGGAGGCCTCCCTCCTGTCACTTAGGCCTGGGATCCCAAACTGTACATGAAGAGATACAGTCCTCTCCCCCCTGGCATGTTGCTCTGCAGGAGAGACTAGGATGTTGAGTGATGTCTAGCCTCAGTGATCTACTGAGCCTATCATTTGGGATCCCCCAAGAAATGTAGGATCTAGGGGGCTGAGCCCAGGGCCCTAGCCCTGACTGCCCATTTTCATAGTGTGAAATTCCCCTCAGTTGCATAGGGTGGGGCAGACACATACACAGGGCACATGGCTTGTGTTTTTTATGCCTACTCAGTGTTAGGTCAGTTCAGTCCAAGCAAGATGTGCCAAGTTGTCCTCCCAAAAGGCTCCCATTTCCCTTTGCATTTACCTATTCTCTCTCCTGCTCTGGACTCCTCAAGGTGTTTATAAGGAGGAGAGACCTTTGTTATCTATCCTTCCAACAATATATTCTTATACCTTTGCTCCAGAACAGAGGTCCTCAACCTCATCACATCTAGCTTTCCATAATTTATAACATATTTGTAATCCCTTTTAATGATCTTTTTTAAAAAAACTATGTATTTATTTGAGAGAGAGAGAGAACAAGCAGGGGAAGGAGCAAAGGGAGAGGGAGAAGCAGACTCTCTATGGAGCAGCAAGCCCAATGTGGGGCTTGATCCCAGGACTCTGGGATCATGACCTGAGCCAACTGAACCACCAAGGCACTTCTTTTTTAATTATGTTGAAGTGGACTCCTAAGATCTACCTCATCATGGCTGGTGTTCTGAGTACCTGAAGAATAAGATACCACCTCATCTCAAAAAGGGGGGCTGAGGAGAGGTTAGTGAAATGCCTATTAACAAAGCTGGAGTCATGTTAAGATACCTGAGGAATGGTGATGCACTTGGGGCTAACCACAATGGAAGGTTCTGCCTCCCCTATTCTCAGTGGGACAAGGGCAGAAAGCAGTAGAGGGACCTAGGGATGTGGTAAGTGTCATGGGTGCAGGAAAGGGCCACCATAACAGAGCAGATGGCACTCGCTGCCAACCCAAACTGCCCAGAACACAGAGACAATTAGTAAAAATCACAAATGACTGAAAACTATCACAATGATTTCTGACTGGCTTGCACTACAGAATGTTTATGCCATATGCAGTTTAGTTAGAAAATACAAATATTATTAATTTTCAGTATATATCCTGACATAATAATTTCTATTTACTATATAAATGCCAAGTATTTTGAATATCACTCCTGGATCATCTGTGACATAAAAGGATAAAGATGTTTGTTACAAAATAATTTACATCTGGTATTTGACCCTTAAACCACCCACCATTTCCATGGAGAGATCATACAGATATAATTGAAATGAAAATAGATATTAATTTCCCTGTGCTTTGTTGCTCCACCCCTTGCTGGGAGCCGGCCCTTCCCTCCGAGTCTATCTTCCCATCGCCTCGGATTCACTTCTCCGCACATCCTACCTTCCAGAAAGTGGTACTTTTCTGTTCCTGGAATTACTGTTCTTCTTCTCTTCTATCTCCTATTGAGTTTGTAGGTGTTCAGAATGATTTGATAACTATGTAGCCTAACCCCTTGGACCTGATGATATTAGGTCTCCTACTCCTCTGCCATCTTGCTCCTCCATAATATTTAAATAGTTTTATTCTTTGTTTTATTCAGTAAATGTCTACTGAGCACATATTTGGTTCTCTGAATTTTTCTGACCACAGAGGATGACATGGTACATATAAGAACATTTTCCTGCTCAGAAAATGAGGAAACAGATCAATGAAAAAGTTATTATGATTAGTGATGAGTACTAGGAAGAAAATAAAACAGAGGAGGGTAGTGAGGAGTTTTTAGGATGCCAATGGGGAAGTGGTTAACTTAAAATGAGTGATCAGAAGACTAAGTCCTAAACAACCCAAAGAAGGCAGGCATAAGAAGATCCAAGGCAATAGGATGTTAACCAGAGGTACCAGTGAGGACAGAGTCTTGGTCAAGAACAACTTTGGGAGTGTTTCAGGCACAGTATGCAGGTAGGTGCTATGGGAGCATGGTGAGAAAGTACAGGAAGATGAAGTCAGCCATGCCTACCTCAATGCTTAATGACTTAAAGCAACAAACATTTACTCTCTTGCACACTTTCTGAGCATCAGGAGCTTAGGAGCAACTTAGGAAGGTGTTTCTTGGTCAGGATGTCTCAGGAAGTTGTATGTCAAGGCGTCAGCAAGGACTGTAGTCATCTGAAGGCTTGACTGAGGATGGGCAATGCGCTTCCAAGATGGTTTCCTTATGTGGCTGTTGGCAATGAGCCTCGGTTCCTTGTCATATCTGCTTCTCTGTGGCTGCTTGAGTATCTTCATGTTAGATCAGCTAACTTCTCCCACCCCCAAGGGAGAACAAGATGGAAACAGCAATGTCCTTTATGATCTATCATCTAGGGCCATACTTCTGATAACAATGATAGACTGGAGACCCAGCTAGGTTGAGAAAGCAGTTGGAGGGGAAATGGGAAGCAGAGTGGGAGCCAGCCAAGGATTCTGAGGAGGTGGTGTCCGTGAAGTTGGGAAGAAGCAGGAAACTGTGACATCATGAAGGAGAGGAGCATGAGGAATGGAGAGTGAACAGTGATTCTGGGGACAGGAGGCCACTGCTGTCCTTGATGAGAGCAGTGGAGTGTGGGACAGAAGTCTGACCAGAGTGGGTTGAGGAGGAAATGGGAAGTGAGAAATAAGAGACAGCAGCTACTGACCACCCTTTTGGCAAGTTTCGTTAGGAGAAAAGGCAGATGTGCAGAAAGGAAGACTTTATATGAGAACTAAAAAAGAAAGGGAATGTTAAATAGGTTGGGCTTGGCTTCATTTGAGATCATGGGAAGTCGTCTGAGAGCAGTGAGTCTGTGCCCTACAGTGACAGAGTTTCCTAGAGGCACTGAGGTTGTTGGCACCAGGAAGGCCCCATTGCTCTAGAAAGTGTGCCATCTCGTGTTCAGCTATGGCCTCAGAGTCAGACTGACTTCTCAGAGTAGGTCCAGCCTCTTTGCTAGAAACTGTTCGCTGGAACAGAGAAATTACATTTTTTAAAAAATCTTAAATCTGTGTTGGAGAACTGCCAAAAGGGAAACTAGAAATTTCTGACTGAAAGGCCGAGTGGGAAAGTTTGCCACACTTCCCCTCAACACCTTCCAGTTCATTCTTCTTACTTATTCCTCCTTCATCTCTTCATCTTTGTCCATCAGTCCTGTATTCCTTTCCCATTACCCCTTTCTATGCTAAAGATTGGAGTGATGCTCCCACAAGCCAAGGAAAGCCGCAGATTGCCAGTAGCCCCCAGCAGCTAGGGGACAGGCATGGAACAGATTCTTCCTCACAACCCTCACAAGGAACCAACCTGTTGATACCTTGGCTTCAGACTTCTGGCCTCCAGAACTGTGAGAGAATCAATTTCTGCTCTGTGAGCCACCCAGTTTGTGGTCATTGGTTGTAATGGCCACAGGAAACGAATATGGTTACTTCGCCATAAGCAAGAAAGAAAACACATTAAAAACAGATATGAGTCTAAAAATAATGATGCTGACTGGAAGAAGCCAGACAAAACAGAGTACTTGTTGTATGCCTCTATTTATATGAAATTCTAGAAAACACAAGCTGACTTTGCATGACAAGAAGCAAACCGGTATGGTGTGGGGAGAGACAGGAAGAGGTGATCACGATGGGGCTTCAGACATATCGTGTTCATTCTACTGCTTGTGGTGATGCTTTCACAGGGGTCTACGTATGTCAAGCTTATCCAATTGTACACTCAAATGAGGTATACTTTATTATAGATCAGTTATGCCACCAAATAATGGTAATAATAGTAATGGAGGC